AATCCATAGACATGTGCAGTAGCATTGAAAAGAAATTAATTCAGTTCAAACCCGGTGGTGTTTAAATTTATTGTACCTTATGTTATACAAAAAAAATAAATTAAAATCTAAAAAAAAAATATTAATTAACCCTTATCCAACCTATTCTTAATGAATTTAACAAGTAAGGTTAGAGGGAGAGGCACAAAAATGGCATTGGATCATTTGAAATTTCAAATTCCTATAACTTCAGTTGTTCCAGAAGATATCATTTTAAAAAAAAGTAAAGTCACACAAAACCTGAAGCAATTAATTTTGCCTCCATTTCTCAAACAATCCATAAAAAGATCCATTAACGTATCAGCTGTGATTTTTTTTATAGGGCCTGACATTCTGGATAGACTGACTTAAAGAATTAAAGGGCTATTTCTATTCACCTACAATCCAAGGAAGTAGCCGATTCATGCCTTTTTGGCAAGAGTATAGTGTGAAGTGAATGCAAACTGCCAAAGTCAAGGTTTGAACTCAGTTTGCTAGTTCCATTCTTTGTTGTAGTAACTGTTATGACACATACTAGCTATAGAAAAGGTTACACAACAAGCAAAAGTAAGACTAATGAACAACCAGACATGAAAATATTTACTTATGCCATATTTAAATATTTATTTTATGGTCAATTTCAAATTAATTCCCAAATTAAGATATCAAATTTCAACCCAAACGTCTTAAATTAATTAATGTCTCAGAAAAAAAAGCAAAAGATTTCTTGAAGAAAAAATAATTTTTCTTTCATTTCTTTTTTCTTTCTTTCATTTTTTCATATTTCTTTTTTTTCATTCTTTCTTTTTTCCTTCTTTCTTTTTCCTTTATTACTGTATTTTTCAATGTTACATTCATCCTATGACCAAATTTGAATCTGTGTACTCAATTGAACAAACAAATTTTTCTTTTTTTCTTGCATTTTCTTTCTCTTTCTTTCTTTATTTCTTTCTTTATTTCTTTCTTTCTTTCTTATTCTTTCTTTTATTCATTGGCTGTATGAATATATATTATATTTTTCAATATAATAAATTTTATAGCCAAATTTGGACCAAAATATGTGAAACCAAATTTTCTTTTTCTCTTCCATTTTCTTTTTTTTTCATTTCTTTTCTCATTTCTTTATTTTAACATCTTCTTTCTTTCTTTTTCTTCTTTCTTTCTTTTTCTTCTTTCTTTCATTTTCGTTTTTCTTTCTTTTTCTTCTTTCTTTTTCATTCATGATTGTATTTCAATATAACGCACTTCACAGCCAAATTAGAACCAAATTTGGACCAATATAATCAAATACGAAATCAAATTATCCTATTTTGCTTTCATTCTCTTTTCCTTCTTTTCCTTTCTTTTATATTAATGCTTTTTTTTTTTCCAAAATAATTCTCTTACCAAATTTGAACCAATTGAGACAACAATTTTTCTACCTTTTTTTAAAAAAAACTATAAACACTTGAAAGTTTTTTCCTGATTGCTAAACAATATCTTTTTCATTTATTTGTTTAAAAACCTTGTCCATCAAACAATTTTAAAAATATCAAAATGGTGAATATAAATAACAGATCAATAAACGTAAAAATTATCACCAGAGGTAGATGAAAATTCATTTAAATGATAAAAATGAAAATGAAACAGACCAGATTCTGTAAATACTGGTTGATAGAAAGCAACAAATCATAAAAAGAGATATAAAATTAATATGTCTGCTGTAATGTGTTGATGCACTTGGCCACAAGAAGGCGCTATCATCATTTCTACTGTTTTTATGTTGTCTGCTTCATACAAGTCATAATCTAAGATTCAAATTCCTTTAAATATTTACAATATTTGAAATATATAATTTTCATTTTATTATGACTAGTATAGTACCCATCAAAAATGGTGGGATCTTCTATGTACAGATCAGATCTGCCTAAAATCAGATTATCTTCATGCTTAGCCTAGGGTCAAAATGCCACTCCTTAGCCCTCTGCTTGGTCCAGAGGGTAGTATCTGTTCTCCATTTCTACTCAAGAGAAGCCTCGTCCCGGGGATTTCAACTCTCCTGGAGCACCTTCTCATTGCAGTAAAGAAGGAGGGTAGCAGGATGCCAAAACCCGCATGACAGTGGATGCTGGGACTTGGCAATTTTTTTTTAGTTGGCCTGTATTTGCACATATGAGTAGCCCACATTAGAAAATGATCTTATGTCGCATCCTGCCACTATGAGTAGGAAAGGCAGATCAGATTGTAGTAAATGTTTCCCTCCTCTAAGCTATGGTATGCTAATTTAAATATTAGAGTGAAGACCATAAATATCCACCCCCGAGAAAGAACATCGGTCTGTGTGTGAAGTGGGGAGGTGGGTAAATTGCTGATCAAAGTATAGTATCTGTTCTGCTACTGTCTCTGGGTGCTCAATCCAGTAAGTTCCAATCTTTTAGCAGCACTTGCCTTATTGCAGTAGAGAGAAATAGTGATGGTGACTACTGAAACTAGTATGACAATACTGGGGACAATTGGGGAATTTCGGTCCTTGGCTTATATGTAGAGCACCCCACATTAAGTTGACCTTGTGTCACATCCTGCCACTGGGGTGGTATAAATAAATACCATCAGAAGGTAGAATCTCTAAACTCTGTGAAAAGAGTTGCAAAGAAACAAAATGTATACGTTATCATATTGTGTGTATTTGGGCGGGAAATGTTCTTTTAGGGCAAATGTTATTAAAGACAACAAACATTTTGTGTTGATTAATTTTATTGATCGACTTTTCCAAGTTACGAATAATCCTTCTTGGATGAGGCGAAAAATCCATCAGAAATTGTCCAAAGTTCATTTTCAAAGAAATATGGTCCAACCTTTCGATTTTCTTAAGTCATCATCAGAGAAGAGATAAATGATAAGTTTCATAGAAATTGTGAATGTAGTGATGCAGGCAAAGTGTGGTGTGTGTGTGTGTGTGTGTGTGTGTGTGTGTGTGTGTGTGTGTGTGTGTGTGTGTGTGTGTGTGTGTGTGTTTATATACATTTCAGGATATGGGCTCTTAAATTATGATGACTAAAAACAAAATACGAAGTTCCAAAAAGAGTATAAAATTTTGAGAAAGTGTTGGCCAAAAAGGGTCCCTCAAAGTAAAATAATGACGTCCATTCTATTTAAATCTATTTTCTTCTTCTGTGGGTACAAGTCTTTGTTTGTGTATATATATATATATATATATATATATATATATATATATATATATATATATATATATATATATATATTAAATTTAATGATATTTAATCCCCACATATATAAAATACAATGTATAGCCATATATATATATATATATATATATATATATATATACATTGTATTTCATATATGTGGGGATTAAAATATCACCTATCTTATAAAAGGTAGGATTTATTAAATTAATGCATCAACACTTAAATTGAATTCTAAAGATTACATATATAATATCACCAAATACTAAAAGTAAATTAAAAAACAACATTTCCATTTCATGTGAACAGATTTCATGTTTAACATGTCAACAGATTTCACATTTAATATGTGAACAGGAACTGAATTCAAAATGTAGATCATTTATTGCTTTCTTTTCTAATATGTATTTTCTTCTCAAAAAAATAATTCATTTTGGAATCAAGCCTAAACAAAGAGTACATTTTAGCTCCCCCATCACAGAAGAATTCATATTAACCTATTATGAATTTTGCTTTGAATATAGCCATTTTAAGCAACCTTTAAATGCCATTCACCAAGCTATGGGTGGATGAAAATCATTGCAGAATTATCGTAGTATCGTTATTTCTTACAAATCAAATGCGATGAATTAAAAACTGATTTTTGCCACTTTTGGGTCTGAAAGTTGTTAAAGGAAAACTGGACAGTCTTTCTGGATGTTTGTGCTTTACAATACGGAAAAAAAGGGATTGTCAGTGGTCATGAATTAATACAAGCATTAAAAAACACAATAAAGCTATTCTATGAATAATATGTAAAAATTTACTATTCAGAGTGGTTCAAAAGTCATTTTCTGATTTTTTCTTAAAATAAATTGAAACAAAACTATTTAACTTGAAAATTATCTATCATTATTTAAAAAAAAAAATTGAATTATAATTAAACCTGGAAAATGATGTCAGTTAAATTAAAAATTCAAGATTATGACTTTTGGCCCTCTTTCTAGAAATGTATTGTAAATGATTTTTACTATAAAAATGTATTGTAAATGATTTTACTATAGAAATGTATTGTAAATGATTTTACTATAGAAATGTATTGTAAATGCTTTTAATATAGAAATGTATTGTAAATGCTTTTAATATGGAAATGCATTGTAAATGATTCGACTATAGAAATGCATAGTAAATGATTTTACTACAGAAAAGTCTTGAAAGTCAGAAAAAGGGATTGTCAATGGTCAGGAACTATTGAAAAATATTACTGACAGAATATGGTTTATTTATGAATTACAGTTCTGTGACTTTCAATGGAATTTGATTTTGTTTCAAGAAAATTCGAATCTTTGGTGTCTGGCCACTTGTGTGAATTGTTGATTTAATGAAGTCTTTCTTTCCATTGTTTTTTGGGGCAGGGAATTTTAAAGGAAGACAAGGCTACACAGACAAAAGGCAAATATGTTGAATACACATCTTTTTTTCAAAAAGCCTTGAACTGTTGATTTATGGATATTGTTTCCCTTTTTTTTTATGGGTGGGGTATTCAAGATCATTTGTTGTTGTTTTTTTTTTATAATTATCAATTTTTTTTATTTTTGGTTTATTTTTTTTATTTTTTTAGGGAAATAAAAAGGTAAACTCATTGTTTTTTGGGGAGGATGGCTGTCAAAATATCAGACAAATTTCATGAAAAAAATCAAGTTTTTATTTAATTTTTGCTAATTTTTTATTAGCACTTTGTTTTTTTTTTGTTTATTTATTTTTGTAGTATATCCAATTCAGTGTTCACTTTTGTCTATTTTTTTTATTTTTCTTAATCTCATTGTTGTTATTATTATTATTATTATTATTATTATTATTATTATTATTATTATCAGCATCTTTATTATGATTATTATTTTATTTTATGGGGAAAAGTTTTATCTGGTTAAAAAAAATGACTATTAACACTATCATTAATGACACATTGATATTTTTGGTTTCCATTATCATCATCATCATCATCATCATTATTATTATTATTATTATTATTATTATTATTCTTTCCTTCTGTGTTTTCATTGATAAATCATGTTTTTGCTTTTTGTTTCTTTTTTGTTGTTATGGAATAAAAATAAAATTGAAAAATAAAACATAAATATATAAATACATGCATACATACATATATTTATATATATATATATATATATATATATATATATATATATATTTCTTAAAAATTGGTGTTGGTACGGGTTAAGATATTATTATTAATATTCAGTTTTCAATGGTTACGGTAGTAACATCTGTCAACGTCTTGGCTGCATTTGGTTGGTTTGAAAACAACAATCATAAAACTGTCTTCAAGAACAAAGAAGAAAAAAAAAAATGTAACGATGATCAAAATTGTCATGTGACTAAGACGTTCGTGTAATAGATGGGGGGGGAGCGAGAACCCCTGTGGCCTGGATAAGTGGCATCAGGCAAAATGTTATTAAAGAGAAAGCAATGGACAAATTTTGGGCAGACCTGTTATTAGCTTTTACCTCTGGACCATTGCACAAATTTTTTTTATTTTTTTATTCCCCCCCCCCCAATTAGGTGTTCTTCAAAGTTTAAAAATTTCTTTTTTTAAATTCTCACAAATAGACTGTTGTTGCCTGTTTAGAGGCTAGAAAGAAAGACACGGAAGACGAAGGTAGGTTGAACAAGTGTATTGAAATTACAGATACATACGAAGCAAGAGTGTTAGCAATAAGCAGGTAGAAGTGTACGTCCGAACGGTCAGGTTAACACTGTGTCTCCTCCACGCCAACCGACTCTTGCAGTTATTATTTATGAGAGGAGGAAGAGTTCATTCTACTGTAGGGGGTTTTACCACAACATAAATGCACAAATACAAGTGTTAAGTTAGTTGTCAATGAACAAACATGTAAACATACATTCAATGAGTCAGATAATTTCACAAATTTACAATAAAGTACTGCTCTTAAGGGCCCTTTAGTACATAAATAAATTCTATTCCTGTTAAAAGAGAGATAATTGCTTTCTGCATTCCTACACATTGCTGTAAACAGAATTATATATGTAGTTTTTATTTGAGGCTATAACTGTTCCTCTCTAACAGGAGAGGCCATCATTTAGGTATCAGTATTATTAATATATAATTTTACAGCTGTCTCAATTCATAATGATATAAAAATTATTCAAATTGGCTTTATATAATTAATTACTGTACCATTGTTAAAATGTTATTAAGAGCATTAAAAACATTTGCTATCATAAAGTATATTAATAAATTTATATAATATCTGTTATATATAAATTTATATTGTATGAAAATATATATTTATATTTTGTTTACTACATACACTTACAAAATATAAATATATAAGATATAATTTATTCAAACAAATATTATACAGGGTGTTTCAAGATATCATTTGATATCATTTGAGATGTAAAGATATGAGTAGTCTCAGAAATTTTAAAAAATCAGGCTTACTTTAAGGCAAAATAAGATTTATTCATCAACATTTGAAGGAGAAATTCAAAGGTAGGTGGATTTCATGAATGATTTTCACATGTTTTCAATATGTGCACAGCCTGTGACATGACACACGTCAAGTTGGTAGTTCAACTCCTACCAAAGACGCTGCAGCAAGTCTTGGGTGACATATTTGCAGTTGGTGCATTTTACCAAATTCTCTCACAAAATGCGCTTTTCTTGTTCAGCTGGGTGTAAGGATACTCTAAGTGCTTCTCAAACTATCTAATATGGCAGATCGGTTTTTTTTTTTTGGTTTTTTTCTCACTGTGTCACATACCTGTAATATTTCGTGGTAATATTAATTTATACCAGGAACGATATGTATAATGAATATAATAAAAGTTGACTATTTTTTTATCTTCCATTTATGTTGCAAAAAATAATTCAGTATCAAAACATAAAAAGTAATAAAAAAATAAGTTTCAAATGATTCCTTAGCATGACCGGGACACTGGCCGTGTATTGGTAGCTGACGGTTCACGTACTGGTGCTGGTTCGCTGATCACCACTTTGAGTAGCTCTGCTCTAACATACAAAACGACTTTTCTTCTTGTTATAGAGTAGTTTCACAGTGGAGGCTTGTATTTCACTAAGTCGGTCCTAAAATAGGTTCGACGTACAAAATGTTAGGGACTTGATATAATTAGTAATCACGCAGAGAAATCTAGTGGTGGTTGCTGATACTCTTAGTGTCCCACATCGACTGACTGACCAACTCACTGAGTGACTTCGCGACTGCTACTACTACTACTTATTATAGATGGGAGAGTCTATTAACTATAGAATAGGTGTGTTTCTCCAGTGAATCACATTCCTATACCTGAAAAGAAAAAAAAAAAGCAAACATTAAACAAAATTTTATTGTTTCTACACATGGTTTTAAAATACTTTTGGTTTTGTTGTTCCGTATTTCTTTATTGAAGAATAATCCTTACATTCATGATAAGATAAAGTTTTTTTTTTAATCTTAATTGAAATAGGTGTTCATTTGCCTGTTTTATGTTAATTAAAATGACCATTAATTGTAAGAAGACAGAGTGTATGGTGATTAGAAAAAGCAATGAAAATTGGTCAAGATTATGAAATGATAACATTTTTTTCTGAAACACCCTGTATATTTATAAATGTATTCTCTAAAAAAGTAATGAACTTTCTATTTATTAATCCAACAGATTTTATCAGTTTAAAAGCTATTTTTAGTGGATACTCCGTTTAAACACTAAACAGTATATTTATTTTCTTCCACCAGCCTGAATCTTTGAGAAATCTTAGAGAGAAATATGCAGTCTGCGGCATTATTCAACCTTGTCTGATTGGCTAAGTTCTTCATAATTCAGTCGATCTCTAGTGCATGTCAAGACTAATAATGATTCCCTCTGCCCAGGGGAATGCCAGTTCAAAAATTATAATTTAATATAACAATAGTTTTTAATGCCAGCACGAATAGTACAGTAATTGATTACAGTACATACTCCAGTATAGTGTGAGTTTATGAGCAGATTTATACACAAAAAATAGGGACTTACACTATACACAGTGAATTTATTTTAAGAGGTTAACTTAAAAACCATGCACTTTTGGTGACCGGTTGCACTATACACAGGTAAAATTTTTTTGTAGTGGCTAAAATTTGTGCAAAAATATCACAGGTCACACTATACATGAAGTCAGTTTACGCAGATATATATAAAACCAATTTGAATACTTTTTGTTATAACAATTATGAATTAGAATAAATTTTTTATCTTATAATAATATATATTTATATTTAAGTGATATCCATTTTTTGATTAATATATTCTAGTTTTATTAAACGATTATAATCATTTCTGCCCAAATTCTTGAGACGAGGAGTTATATTATTTACATGTGGACTATTGCCCTAATTTTTGTTGTTTGTTGATTACAACAACAAAGGTGAGGTCAATAGTTCACATGAAAATAATGTAAATAATTCTAATTAATATTTATGAAAACAGTTATTGTCGATTGTGATAACATGTTGCTATATTCAATTCCATAGATAATAATTTTAAATATAACATCATTATATTTGCATCAGTAAGTCATTATGTTAATATTTTGTTAAAAATATGAAAAATTCACATTTAAATTATAATCGGTAAAAATCGGAATCACTGCTTATAAACACCAAAAATAAGGTTAATATAGCAAATTATAAAATTTACATCTTACTAAATGTTACTTTTTAATAGAAACAATAATTATAATATTTTTACTTATTTTTTTTAGTCTTTTTCTACGTTGTTTTTATTGTTTATCATGACCATAAGTATTTTTTCTAACACTGATAAAAATGTTATTCCTGTTATTTTGACCAGCAATGTCTTGAAGCTTTGACAGTTTTTTTTTTGTTTTTTTTGGTTTGTTTACATGCCACACCAACCTCAGTCAGGGTAAAGTTGACAAGTTTTGGTTGTACATATCGGAAGCAATAAATTATACACTTTTTATAGCCTTGTAAATAAACACACCTAAATGAAAATTTCACTGTGTTGCTTTTTTCTTTGTTTCTTTTCTTTTTATTCATTTCTTTCTTTCATTATTTAAATGGCTAAATCCGTTTTTTTTCTTCATTCTTTCTCTTTTTCTTCCTTCTTTCTTCATTAATCTGCCTTTATTCTTTTGATTTTTGTTTTTTTTCTTACATTTTTCCATTTTTTTCTTCTTTTAATTTTTACTTTTTTCTTTCATTTTTTTATTCTTTTTTTCAATTAAAATTATTTTTCCTTCTTTCATTGTTTTTCTTCTTTTATTTTTTTTCTTTCTCGTTTTTCTCCCAATTTCTTTGTTTATTTTTTCTGTTTTTATTTTATTTTTCTTGTTGTTTTTCTTCTTTCACTTTTACTTCTGTTTTTCATTTTTCTTTGATTTTTCAGCTTTCATCTTTTTTCTTTCATTTTTTTCTTTCATTTTTATTCTCTCTTTTTTCTTTTATTTTTTCATTTTTCTTGATTTCCTTTATTTTATATTTTCTTTCTTTTCTTTGTTCAATTTTTTTCATTTTCTGTTATTTTTCATTTTCCTTGTTTCTTTTGTTTTTTTTCATTTATTTTTTCCTTCAATTTCTTTTCTTTCAGTTTTTTTTTTTTCCTGCTTTTTTTTCCCTTCATTGTTTTTCTTTCTTTCATTTTTTTCATTTGTTTTTTCTTTCGTATTTATTTTTTCATTCCTTTCTTTTCTGTTTCTTTCATTTTCATCTCCTTCTTTTCTTTCAATTTTTTTTTTTTTACTGTTTTTATACTCTTTTATCTTCTTACACTTATGAATTTTAATCAAAAAAGGAGAGAGGTCACCTCATACAATCTACCCGAAAGTTCAGAGAATTTATTGTTGAATAAAAGGATTCTTGCACTAACAATTAGATACCGCAATTTCCCTCAAATTAGTCCCTTGCCTGCTGTCTGTATACTAGCTTACAAGAGGTACTGCTCACGAAAGGTAGGAGCAATAGCCCATACTGCATTTAATTTACATGCACTATTTCAATTTGCCAGATATGAAGGTGTTATGGCGTTGTTCTTTAACATATGCATCTTTTGTGTTATTAATGATTCAAGAAAACAACGAAACTCCAAATGTAAATCAACAAGAAATAACATACAAGAACAAAATATACAATAACTTGTATTCAATGTATAGATTAAGGGAAAAGAAATTGCTTCCCTTTTACCGTATTTTGATTTATAATTGATTGTTCGAAAGAAAGTTCTCTTTAGAGTGAAATGTTCAGGAATCAATGTTAGAACAAGTCTGATGTTAGAATAGATAACGTAAGAATACAATTGATCAGAAAGTGAGTGGTGTTAGAGAAATTAACAGGGTCCTGGTTGATTGAACTTGGCTGAGTCACAAAGAGATATGTATTAGAAAATTCTGTGTCTGTGTGTGCATTTGAAATGCTGTGAGTAAAGTCATAGGTTTGTGTTGACAGGTGAAATTTAGTGGACTCTTCTGGCGGCTTGTGAAAAAGTCGCCTCTTTTAAAGCAACAGATAGGCTCCCAGCGAAACCACAGGAAAAGTTGATTTTGCACTAAAATATGTGATTGGTTAAAATTTGACCAATCACTAAATTTGTACTAACAAAACAAGTAAGCAAGTTCAATTCAAAGCAACGACTGTGATGGCTAAATTGTTCTAGAGAAAGGCAGTATTGATTTATTAGCCAATCGCAGACAAATAGAATGTGGGCGTGGAAAAACATAGCAGTCACGACAAAGGTAGCCACTCGTAAATAGATAATATGTGGTTCACTTGCAAGCCATTCACTGTAAGAACAACTCTCAACATTCTTACAAAATAAATATTTACATAAAAATATGGAACATTATGGGGAATTGAAGTGGACTCCATATAAGATACCCACGTGGTGAATACAGACGTTGTAATAAATAAAGAGTAGAAAGCGAATGACATCTGATTTATTCATGTTGTATTAATCAATATTACAAGTAAGTCCTTGCAAACTTAATGGTGTCTGCAACTGAACTTATCTGCTGAAGAAGAGTCGATGTTTTCACCATCTACGGACTCTGTGGTGATAACGATGTAGAGCTGGCTGGTTCTGCAAGGGTTCATTTTGTAAGTCTTACCAAGAGTGAGTGTTCTTCAAAAAGAGGTAGAAAAGAGATAGATAGATAGATAGATAGATAGATAGATAGATAGATAGATAGATATAAAAGGATTTAGAGATAGATAGATAGATAGATAGATAGATAGATAGATAGATAGATAGATAGATATATAGATATAAAGGATAGATAGATAGATAGATAGATAGATAGATAGATAGATAGATAGATAGATATAAAAGATTTAGAGATAGATAGATAGATAGATATAAAAGGATAGATAGATAGATAGATAGATAGATATAAAAGATTTAGAGATAGATAGATAGATAGATAGATATAAAAGGATAGATAGATAGATAGATAGATAGATAGATAGATAGATAGATAGATAGATATAAAAGGATTTAGAGATAGATAGATAGATAGATAGATAGATAGATAGATATAAAAGATTTAGAGATAGATAGATAGATATAAAGCGATAGATAGATAGATAGATAGATAGATAGATAGATAGATAGATAGATAGATAGATCACTGCAAGCCTCTTCTGAACAAATGCATGCAGCTGAGAAATGATTGGGGAGGGGGATTTTTCAAGGGAGGTAACTTTCAGAAGAGACAATTTCTGTACAGATTGGGTAGCCATGGTAATGTAGTTTTATATTACTCAACTTATGTCATGTGACAAATGAGAGACACATTATAAAGAAATACGTTCATGCCTTTCCCTACTCTATTAGTACAATTGGTTTTCAATCTGCCAAATACATTTTCCGTTTGCCCATCAATCACTAACAAGATTCCATTATGTTGATTAAAAAGAAAAAATCAAATTTCCCTGTTTTCTTTAAATCATCTCAACCCAAGCAAGGCAATAAAGCCACTAAGACCAGATAGAAGTGCCAGTTTTTACTTTTCTTTAGGTCATAGGCGATCATACCACTCCACTGTTAGCATTGAATGTATAGTTATATCAAGCAATTTCAACAGTAAAATTATGAGGCTTAGATAGATAGATAGATAGATATAAAAGGATTTAGAGATAGATAGATAGATAGATAGATAGATAGATAGATAGATAGATAGATATAAAAGGATTTAGAGATAGATAGATAGATAGATAGATAGATAGATAGATAGATAGATAGATAGATAGATAGAAAAGGATTTAGCGATAGATAGATAGATAGATATAAATAGATTTATAGATAGATAGATAGATATAAAAGGATTTAGATATAGATAGATAGATAGATAGATAGATAGATAGATAGATAGATAGATAGATAGATAGAAAAGGATTTAGCAATAGATAGATAGATAGATAGATAGATAGATAGATAGATAGAAAAGGATTTAGAGATAGATAGATAGATAGATAGATAGATAGATAGATAGATAGATAGATAGATAGATAGAGCATAGAATGTGTGGTTATATCAAACAATTCTCAGTACTGTGCTTAAATTCATGAAGTCAAAAAGGAAAGCAATATTTATTTTGATATAATACAAAAATATAGTACAATGCCCAAAAGAAGGAATAGAAGAAGGTTGATCTTCAATCTGCCTTATCTTAAACTTAGGTAGCCACAATTACTGACCTAAACATGTCACTGTATTCTTTATACCCAAACAACACATTCTTACTTAACATTCTTACTACAGCCACCATAATATATCAAAGTCACCAGAGAGGAAAGCTCATCAGAACAACTGCCTTGAAAATCATTATTGAAAACACACAGGGAAGCAGTTAGAAATTTAGTGAAACCAAGATTATGCTATCTGCAATATAAAGAAATGATAACAGGGGAAGTAAAAGGATGCTTGATAGTTACTCCAAGTGTAGGAAAACACAAGATAGATTTTTTTTAAGCATTTCACCCCAAGCAAGGCGAGAAGCCACTAGCACGCAAGAGGTTACAGAGGATTTGAAGCAAAAGCAGATAGGAGTGATAGACAAGAGGATGAGGAGAAGGATAGTGGATAGACCAAGGTAACTGGAGATGTCGATTGACGTTACATTTGAATAGTTGGAGATTATAGCTATCAGAGAAACAGGAAAAGGGAAGGTAGTTCCACAGGCGAGAGGTGCGAGATATGAAGCTATTGGAGTAGAAGAGACGGCTACATTTAACAGTTTCAAGAGTGAAAGCGTGAGAGCGGGATGCCAGCCTCGTAGGACGCTTGAATTCATGAAGTCTGGGAACCAGCTAAAGAATCTCATCAGAGCAATTACCATGAAAGTATTTGTAAAAAAGACAGAGAGAGGCGATGGCACGTCTGTGAGAGAGCGACTGCAGACGAGATGCCAGATCAGGGCCAATTATATTGCATATCCGTCTCTGGATTTTATCAAGAACCCCGAGGCAAACAGAAAGGGCTCCAGACCATATATGGAAGGAATACTCCATGCAAGGGCGAATTGTTGATTTGTAGATCTGAAGGATCGATTACAGGGAGAAAAATTTCCTGGTATGGCATAGTGAGCCAAATTTCCTATCGGTAGACGAAGCAGTTGATTCAATATGATAGAGAGGTTTGCACGTGAGCCATGGTAGAGAATGGCACAGGTAAGGACATCATGGAAGGGACAAGCAATGACTGACAAACAGAATATGTTACCCCAGGGGTTCATTCTGTTGTTAACTATATTAAAGATATAACAATCATGATTACATCTCATGAGTGCATAACACATTAGTGTCAAAGGAGCAGCTGTAATATTAGTGGATGTTTCTCAGCCCAGATAGCGTGACAAGGTCTGTACCTCTGCAGACAAGTTTTGAACATTCAGAGTTATGCTTTTCCCAGACCGTTTGCCCTAACAGAGTCCAGTCTGCCCGGCTGTTGTGTTAAGTGAATACAAGAGATAACAGTTGTACTATCCACACATCTACCAAGGTGTAAAAATCACACAAAGATCAAAGATTGTTATAGAGTGAAAATTTCAGATCAAAATTCAGCTAACTAAAGTTACAGACATTTTGACCCACCCACGTATTTACTCAAATTGTATCATGCTAAAAAAAATGACAATAAAATTAATACCACCTTTTCTATAGTTTTTGTAAAGCTCTATCTCAACATCTCTCTTGTATGTAGATATGAGAAATATGTTGCGGTAGATATGAAAAGATCGAGATAGATAGATAGATAGATAGATAGATAGATAGATAGATTACTGCGAACATCTTCCGTACACTTGCATGAGCCTGAGAAACGATTGCAGAAAAAATTCATCAAGGGAGGTAACTTTCAAAAGAGGCAATTTCAAGGGAAATAACTTTGTACATAAAACTAAGAGTTTTCTCCCTTGTATCATACATTAATGAAAAGTGGGTATGTTTTGTCTCGTTAAAAATTCATTTTCGAACCGCAATGCTTTCATCACAAATGAATGCTTCTAATGCTTTCATCACAAATAAAAACATATCTGTAAACTCCATTATTACAATTTTATGAATTCTTTTTATATATATATATATATATTTTTAAATAGATTTTTTTTCCAACATAATTTCTTCTTACTAGAAGTATAAACTTTATTTTCACTGGATACACGTATTTGAGTTCTTATCCCTGCTTTGTCTATCTTCTTTTTTTTTATTTACTAATGTTCCCTTTATACAAGGCCCAAGGGCCACTCAAGATAGAAGGTTACTAAAGGCAGTTGTGTTTACGGTAA